GCTGACTGGCAGCCATCTTGTTTTTTGAAAATGTTGTATTTTGGACATGCTTTGTCAGTTGTCATTCAAACTTGGTACATAGATTATACATGTTAGGATACATGTCCATGACAATTTATTTCGCAATTGGATCAAAGATGGCAGGCATCTTTTTTTTTTTTTTATGCGGTATCTTGGACGTGCTCTGTCAGTTTTCATTCAAATTTGGCACATACATGTACTTTATACATGTTACGATGCATGTCCAGGACAATTTGTTTCAAAATCTGGTCAAGGATGGCCGATTGACAGCCATCTGACGTTTTGGCCTTACTGCTATATCTCCACAATTTATGTACCATTTTCATTCATATTTGGCATATACATCATACATATCAGTGTGTTTCATAATCAGATCAAAGATGGCCGAATAACTGCTGTTTTGGCCATATTACTACTACAAGGAACACTTGTTTTGATGTAAAAAAACAATCTGTTGTATACGCCACTTGGAACTCAAGTTTCAAGGACACGCTCGCGACAACCCCCTGCTTTAATATGACGAGCACAAAGAGAACTTTCAAAAATTTTATGGGGACTGTGTCATTTTCAATGACTTGTTTTAATATGGGTTTTAAACTATTTTCATTAGGCAGTAAATTGAAGATGCAAGATAGATGAAAATATGTCAATGTAATAATAATGAATTTATTGCATTTTCAGAAATAGTAAAAAAAAACCAGTGAAATCAATCCTTTTACAGTAGTGTAAACTGTTTTGCCATCTATTTAAAAGAATATTCAGACATTTTTAGGATTTTTCATTCTTGGGACTAAGTCATTGACAGTGACTTGATTCAATTTTTTGAATAGATTTATGCTGGAGTTTGGATAATTGAAGTCTACAAGGTCAAAGATTGTACTTTTAATATTTAGTGTGAAATCACCTGATGTTATCACACACTGCTCATTTAAATAATTTATACTCATGAAAATTGCATAGCTTGGATCTCCTGGCATTGGCATTTTGATGGTATTTTGATATTGCTCAATAAAAATACTAAATTCCCCTAACTTTAGACCAGTCAATTCTTCAATAAAAAAGATAAACTGATGAATTGATTGATAAACACTGCTTTTCAGTTTTGTGTGAATATGTATGTATTTAATTAATGTCATTCTTACCTGCCATAATACTATTTACCTGTCATCAAATGATGGAAAAGGAGACGTGGAAAATTTTCGCCATTAAGTCAAATTTTGATTGTTACAATATTTCAAGCAATTCTTATCCAATCATTTTCAAACTTTGATATCATATCATATCAGTATAAAATCTTGCACAAGTTTAATTGTAGTATTATTTGTGAAAATGTAACTCAATCTTTGTGGTTACAATGAGTCAACCAATTTTTGTTTCATCTTCAAAATCCAAAATCTTGTCGATCACTATAAAAAAATCAACCAAGTTCAGGTTTGGTGTGGACTAACAAGTATAATTTTTAAGATGTACTTGTAAATTTGTTTGACATTGAAATAATCACTGAGAATGAACAGATTTGCATATATTTATAAAACATGCATACATGCAAGATGTGTTAGCAACTACAGCCAAAAAAAAATCTTGTTCATCAGATTTTTCATGTGAAAACCTTAGGACAGGGAGCAACATTGTTTTACCATCCTGAATACTGATTCATTATTAATATCTAGATTCTCAACAGGAAAGGTTATAATTCTTACATTGTGGGTTTTGTTCTTGTTGTGCTTGAAAGATGTTATCACAATGATTTGAATATTCAAAGAAACTGATACAGCCATACAATGTTGCTCTGTACTTGAAGCATGTCTCCTAGGATTCCTAGAATTGCATCAGCATGGGGAAATGTACTCTGAATGGTCCACCCGTTGATTTACTATGTCTGCTGTTACTGAAGGTGTTCATCCTTTATGCTAGCATATCACATACATCATTTTCTGCCTGGAAAGAATGTATTGTCATAAACAGTTTGGATTAACGCTTTAACAATGATTAGAATAAAACGAGGATTGACAGTCATTTCAAAGACTACCATGCCTCCCTCGTAAATTTTTAGGTGAAAATTATTTCAAAATCTTGTAAGTTGACATCAATAGTTGTATTCTACATATCATATATTCATGATCGTATACAATAAAAAAGTAAAATAATCCATTCATTCTGACTATCAAAATGAGTAATTTCATAGAGCATGCCAGATGCATCAATCACAGTGAAAAGCTATCTTTCCTTCACCCCACACCTGGAGCCGCGGTTTTAAAGCATATAACAAATTAGGACATTTCCAAAAACTAAGTATATTTTCAACCACAACTGTCTTATTTAATTGATTTTCCTGAACAAAGCTCACAAAATTTGGAACTATTCTTGTTTCTTTGTTTATACGAATCAAACCATGTTACTGTGAAATGAACACTATTCTCAGAGGTTATAGATATTCTGGCTTGTTCCATCTCTTTAAACTATATTGCTTATTTTGTTTTGAGCAAGGACCTCTATGATTGATATAGTTACTTTATTGCTTCTGTCCAGTGGGCATATACTTGTACTTTTAACGATGTCCTTGTATGTTATAGGACATGTATACGTGCTGTCTGGCTGCTTTTCTCAGAATTTAATTTAAGATCCATCATCTATATGCATTAAACTGATTTCAAGGTCATATTTTTGACTTAGTCCAATAGAAATGTAATTTCAAATGATTCAGGTAGCTGCTTATGTCAGCATAGGTCTATCATGTAGTTAATTGTTAATATACAGACAGACTGATGAATAATGAATAAGTTGAATGTACTGTACATGTGTGCCTCAGTTAATGTCAAGGAATCACTGATTGAAATATCAGGAGTGAAACGGAAGTGTACATGCATGTCCAAGTAGCCGTTGCATGCTGGGACTCGTGTGACTAATATGTAGTTCATTGAATGAGTTGATTGGTTGATTAATGAAATGGATGATAGACTGACATACTGGTTGATTGACTCATTAGTTCCATGAATAACTGTCTTCATTTATTGACTGTGATTGATTTACCAAATTGTGATGTTAGGCTAGGGATGTTAGACAATTGGACAGGTTTTTTCCCATAACATGTACATTATTGTCCCCGTTCGGACGAAGTCCAAAAACGGGGACTTATAATTCGGTGTGCGTACGTCCAGAGTCATATCTCAGAATCCCTTGGGCGGATTCCGTTCATTCTTTGCATGTGCCTAGTACTTTATGTGGGACATATGCACATGCAGTGGTTTAGCGATTCGATTCAAAATGGCCGACTGGCAGCCATCTTGTTTTTTGAAAATGTTGTATTTTGGACATGCTTTGTCAGTTTTCATTCAAACTTGGTACATAGATTACACATGTTAGGATACATGTCCATGACAATTTATTTCACAATTGGATCAAAGATGGCCGACTGGCAGCCATCTTGTTTTTTGAAAATGTTGTATTTTGGACATGCTTTGTCAGTTTTCATTCAAATTTGGCACATACTTTATACATGTTAGGATGCATGTCCATGACAATTTGTTTCAAAATCTGGTCTAGGATGGCCGATTGACAGCCATCTGACTTTTTGGTCTTACTACTATTATGTATTTCCACAATTTATGTTCCATTTTCATTCATATTTGGCACATACATCATACATATCAGTGTGTTTCATAATCTGATCAAAGATGGACGAATAACCTCTTTTTTTATTTTTGGCCATATTACTATCTGTTGTATACGCCACTTGGAACACCAGTTTCAAGGACACGCTCGCGACAACCCCTCCGCTTTAATATGACGAGCACAAAGAGAACTTTCAAAAATTTAACAGGGACTGCATGTGTCATTTTCAAAGACTTGTTGAAACATGATTTTCCATATTTCATCCTATAGATGGTATTTGTTCTCTATAACACAAAGCTTTTGCTGAGAAATGAAAGTTGTCACTTTTAATATGTTAATTTTCTATAAGTGGCAGTGGTGTTATGAACCTTCTTTGATTGAATCTGCAAGTAGCTAATGTGTTGAAAGGATCTACATACTGTGAATATTGAATATTTTGGAATTACTTGATGTATTATAACATCATGACTTGTACAAACTCTCTGAAAAACAGTTAAAATAATGTCAACTGCTAATAACTGCATTGTAGTACAGTTTTCTTGCATTGATTAATGTTTTTATTATTTTATTACAGTGGGAAAGACGTCACTTATTACAAGGTTTATGTATGATAGTTTTGATAACACATACCAGGTAAGTTGTGCCACACACTTTACATGTTTGACACCACACACTTTCCATCAGAAGATTGGAACAAAAAAAAGCAAAAAAATGTTTAGTATAAACTGAAATCCCCAGTGTATTGGTACATGTACCTGGAGTCTTGTGTGCTGTATCTCCAGTGTATGGGTATATGTACCTGGAGTCTTGTGTACTGTATCTCCAGTGTATGGGTATATGTACCTGGAGTCTTGTGTGCTGTATCTCCAGTGTATGGGTATATGTACCTGGAGTCTTGTGTGCTGTATCTCCAGTGTATGGGTATATGTACCTGGAGTCTTGTGTACTGTATCCCCAGTGTATGGTACATGTACCTGGAGTCTTGTGTGCTGTATCTCCAGTGTATGGGTATATGTACCTGGAGTCTTGTGTACTGTATCTCCAGTGTATGGGTACAAGTTCCTGGAGTCTTGTGTGCTGTATCTCCAGTGTATGGGTATATGTACCTGGA